AGGAATTCTGGTTTGAATTGCATAAGTCAGTATTCTTTCTCTGATGATAGCAGTGTTAAGAAATTTAATCTGGTTGCTGGATACAGGAAGGATTATAAAAGAGGAGAAATTTGAAGACAGGAGTTTTTTTCACAGTAGTACAGACACCAAGTGATGAGATCTGGTATAGTGATGGCTATCAAAATGGGAAATAAGTTGACTCAATAACTGACCAAATGCCAATCGCTGAGAGGGAGGACAGTCTCATTGCATCACTTCAGGGAACCTTGATGTCTTCAATTCTGCTACTTTGGGTCCCCAACTTGAATGTTATAGCAGCTCTCACAATTGTAATTAAATTAGTTGAGTGAGTGTTGGGTTTTTGTTTTGTTTTTTAAGGTTGTCTTCCTAGTTGCCTAAGCTTGGGGAGGTCTTTTAGGTCAAACAATATTCATAATACTGAGCTGTTATTTACCTCTCACAAGTGTGTAAAGGCTACATGATGTGCATTGAAATAGATCATTACTGATGTTAATTGAACAGAGGATATTCTTAAGTTTTATAGAATTTCCTTAGGTGGTAGGGTTGGGGTATGAATATTTGTTTTTAGGAATTAACTTACTTTTTAGGTTATACCTTCTATCATCCCAGCAACCCTCAGTATTACATAATTATTAATATAAAATCCTTTCATTTTCTTTGTGCCTAAGTATAAACGTAAGTACATCCTGTTATGCAAAAGTGCTTTAAGTATTTGCTCAAAACTTCTAAAATTTTAAATTTAACTAAAATTTAATTTAGAATTTAGTAACACAAAATAAACCAATTTATATTGTTCTTATTTAAGAATGGGTCATTGATTTAATAAAATGATAGTAAGATTGTTCAACCCACAGCTTATGTCTAAAAATGCTAAAAAAAAAAAAAAAAAAGTGAATTTAAGATATTCCAGAGCTCTTATAGGAAGAATCAAGTTCAAATAAACTGTAAGGAAAAGCTACAGAAATAAGTTACTGTAGGACATTGCCTGAAGAAACACAATAGCTGAGAAACAAAAAGCCATATACATTTGCCACTAGTAGATGCAAAGTAAAAAATGGTAGCTCTACTTTTTAACAATAACTTGTTTAGGAAATATTTATGTGAAGACATGAACTCTGTGTTAATTATCTTTGTAGAAGTGTACTTAAGCCTTACAAATGAATGAATCTACAAACTTGACTGGGCTTGTTATTTTTGGCTAGTCAGAGACTTTTAAGTGAAAGTTTGGCAACAAAATATATCCTGAAATAGTTGAAATGTTGAATAAAATCTCAAGGTTGCCGAAACCGGTTTGGCTCAATGGATAGAATGTCGGTTTGGGGACTGAAGGGATTCTGGTTCGATTCTGGTCAAGGGCATGTACCTTGGTTGTGGGCATATCCCCAGTAGGGGGTGTGCAAGAGGCAGCTGATCAAATGACTCTCTCTCATTGATTTTTCTAACTCTATCTCTCTCCCTTCCTCTCTGTACAAAATCAATAAAATATATATATTTTTTAAAATCTCAAGGTTTATCGGGACATTTTCACATGGTAAAAAGGCAAAGTAGGTAAAAACTGTCAGCATCTTGGCATAAATCAAGACAGTGACACCAGACTGTACTTGTTCTTTCTTGCCATGCATTTGCAGAATACACCCAGGGGCAAAAATAGGAAAATTGCATATAGTACTTCTGCTACATGCTAAAGGACAGTGGTTTTAAGAAAAAAGCACTCGTGCAGTTTGGAAAGAATGACTCAAATTTTGGTTTTCAGAGTTGGCTATTTGGCAGACATATTTTGGAATATAAAGGAAGTGAGCCTTTCAAGGAAAACAATTGACTGCTGTTTTTAGTGAAAAATTCAAAAATTAAAGTGAAAATTAGAATTTTGGGAAAACTTGTATCCACTACCAGGGATCTTGACATCTTTCCAGTACATAGTTGTTTTTTTGTGAGATATACTGATAGTAAAATGATTTTTAGATATTAAATAATGAACTGGGTCAACATTTGGGAGATTTATATTAGTTTATATTAAACTTAGTTAACTAATATTTTCCAAATGACCAATACATGAAATTACCCCCCAAAGTAACATATCTCAATCAATTAAGTGTGGAAAGAAAATTCAGCTGCCTTCTATTAAGGCAGACATTTGAGAGAACTGATTTGCAAAAAAAAAGTAAAATAAATCCACTCTGAAAGTAGGTATTTCCATAAAAATGTTAATGTAATATATTACTAACTTAAAATTAAAAAAAAACCTTATAATATGGAAAAATAATGGTAATCAAAGCTATTTGGGCTCCTCAGTTTTTAAAAAGGGGTCCTGAGGCCAAAAAGTATGAAAAACAGCTTCTTTAGCACATGTACTAGTAAACCCTCAAATGCCTGTAGAATTAACTAGATGGCGTTTAAAAACACACATACACATACACACACAGATTCCCAGTGTTAAGGCTGGATGACTGGGAGAACAAGTATGCTAGGATCCAGAGAAAATTTGAATGGAGAAAGTTATGTTCATGAAAAACAAATACCATTTCCCTTTCCAGTGAAAATTGCTTTTATCATGAATATATATAATCAAATAGCTATAACTTCACAACTGATTAGCAAATATGTTAGCTTTAGTGCCAAATACAAGGGTCAGTGTAGGTCTCTTTAAACAGTGATCATTTTTTTTCCTTCATAGAAATCATATTGCACTTTCAAAATTTATGTTTATCTCTTAAAAATGTACCAAGGTACAATAATTGAATGTGATTTTTTTTCTCATGGAATTTTCAAGCTTTTACCATATCTCCACTGAAATTTCTACATCTCATCTGAAATTTTTAGGAAAGGCTATGATGAGAATTAAGAATGTATTACTTTTTCTATGCCTATTTACTTAAAATCCCCCCCCCCCCCCCCCCCCCCCCCCCCGTCTTCAACTTATTTGTTTCTTGCAGTGGAGACCTGAGCTATATTTCACACTGAACATATCAGAATCTACAGTCTTGGCTGTTTCTGGAAAGTCTTACTACCATCGTATATAATAAAAGGCTCATATGCAAATTGACTGAATGGTGGAACAACTTGTCGCTATGCTTTGACCATACTGACCACCAGGCAGCAAATGTTCAATGAGAAGCTACCCCGTTGGTCAGTGGGCTCCCACAGGGGGAGCGCTGCTTATGGCTGGTGAGTGCAGCGGTGGTGGTGGGAGCCTCCCCCACCTCAGTGGCAGCACTAAGGACCTGTTGGGGGATATCCATCTGCCAGCTTAGGCCCATCCCAGGGCGTGGACATCCTCCAAGGACTGAGAGGCTGCAGGCCAGTCTGAGTGACTCCTTCCCCCAACATCCTCTCCCAGCGAGTGAGGGTCTCTATTTTTAAAAGTGTTTAACAAATGTTTCCTTTTGTCACCACTGTCAGTCTCTAGGAGATAACCATCTTCCTTTCATTTAATTAAAAGAAAGTGTTTAAGTTGCTATTGTTCCTTCTAAAATATATTGACTCTCCCAGTAACAAAATATCTGGATTATAATTTGTTCATTTTGTGTTCAGATTAGGATTGCTGTCCCATCTTTCCACATTTCCATGGTGTAGGAGGCCCACTCCAAGGTTAAAAACCAAAAGTCACAGAAGGATTTAGGTGACAGTGTCATATATAACTCAATTCCAGCTCTTTTGAATCCTGTTAGTCCATTTCCTATTCCTGCCATCAGATTTTAAAACATACTAGTGTGGAAGACTTCAAACTATTGCAGACAATGCTCTATATATTTGCATAATCTTTAATCAATCTGGTCATGTTTCATGATGGTACTTAAGACTATAGCTAAGAAAGAATAGGCTCAATTTGATGTAAATACTAAGCCAATATGCAAAAATATTAATTTGTTCATTAAATGTCCACTATGGAAGTTACTGTAACCAACATTTGGTAAACAGTGGTATACATGGATGTGATCCTTATACTTTCCATTTCTGTGGGCCATACTGACCCACAGGTTTAAATGGTTTCTTTTATCAGAGGTGAAAAGTTGTTTTATGTTGATCCCATGATATTACATTATGATGATACTCATTCTTAAGTGTTAGGTAGTATATCAGAGAGAAAACCAGACTAGGAATGTTGGCTGTACTATTAATTTGAACTCTGTTCTTTCAAAGTACTGTCCTTTTATTTGCAATTTAAGACATCAAAAGTAATGTTAGTTCTATTATATTACTAATAAGACATTGAAAATCTAACTATAAAATAAACTCTGAATACTATAAAGAATTCCACATAAAGCCCCAAGTACTCTGTCCCAGGGAAGCACTGTTTTCACAAGGACTTAATACTGTTGAGGTAATTTCATTTTCTACTCCCTGCAGCTGGAAATGAATTGTGACCAAAGAGAAAACAACAAAGAACTCAGGTGAAGTTTTTAATTCAAAGATAAATCAGTCTGTCCTTTTAAGAAACCAAAAATATTTTGACAGGTTATGTTTGACTTTGAAAAGCAATACTACTTTTGTATACTGAAAAATAAAATCTTTAAATTTGACTTTTTGGTCCCATTCTTCATCTATTTATGTATTTGCTACTATTTACAAATAAAAATGTGTCTTTGTAATTCCTTTGCCAAATTCTAGTCCTCTTATGCATTAATCTGAGTAACATGCATACTTTAATTTTTAAGGCAGATGGTAAACTTTTCTAAAGGTCTTGTGAGATTTCATCTTATCATGAGGCCAACACTATTTTACAAAATGTAATACATTTTTTAAGGTTGATGTAAAGAGAACTTGAGCAACTAAAAAGCAAAAGCTTAGGCAGTATCTGTGTTGCCTAAGATGCTATGATTATGTTCTGTTTTTCCATGGACAACAGGAACTGGTACAAAGCCTGAAAATAAAATATAAACCCAAATCTCAAGAGCATTTTAGGAAAAATACCAATTGCCTAGCTACCTCTTCAAGCAAGATAATTCTAGCATTTTCAGTGTCAGGAAGCACAAATACTATTAATCATTCTTTGCACTTAGGAGTTCCTCTTTATCTTGTCCTGAAGGATGAACAAAAGCTAGAGGTGTACGGTTCAGAAGGTAAACTGCAGCATGAAGACCACCTATGTTCACCCAGACAGTGTGCACTTTGCGCCACACATGTTCCATTCCAGATAATGCCTGTGTACACACAAAAGGCATAAAAGTAATTAGCTTTAATGACTTGCCTGCTTCTAAACCAGGGGTGGGGAACTTTTTTTTGCCAAGGACATTTGGGTATTTCTATCATCTGCAGTCCATACAAAATTATCAACTTTAAAATTAGCCTGCTATATTTGGTTAAGCATTTAACTTGCCATCAAATGATTTTGTGGGCCTGTCCTAGAACAATCAAGAGTCTTAGGTGCCAATAAGAAACATTAGGGAAAGGGAACTCAAATCCTGTTCAAACTAATATCCCTGGGCCTTCCGGCTGAGTTTTTGAGGTACTGCACTGTACCTTGGTAAAGCATTTCTTGTCCTGAGTAAGTAGTGCAGCTCTGCCTGTCCCTGGTTTACAGATACGGCCCATCTCCCATAGGCAAGCTGGGTAAAGGTTCCAGTTTCTTTTCTTGGAGCCCATCCTATAAAAGAAGGCCCAGTGAGTCAAACATGCAAAAAATATCTAAGACTGGAAAGTTATTAAAAACTCATGGCAGCCCTAGCTTGTTTGGCTCAATGGGTAGAGCATCAGAGCCTGCAGACTGAAGATACTGGGTTCGATTCCAATCAAAGGCAAATAATGGTTGCGGCTTGATCCCTGGTCAGGGCCCATGGAGGAACCAATGTGTCTCATCAATGTTTCTGTCTCCCCCTCCTCACTCTCTAAAAAGATCAATGGAAAGATGTCCTTGGGTAAGAATTAGTAGAAAAATACATTGCAGTAAGATCCTGAAGTATGAAAAACAGTTGCCATTTAGAAGCTAGAGCATTATATGTCAATGAAATGAGCAATCAGACCTAAAACTGCATAGAATTTTGAATTAAGTTTACATTAAAAGAACTTTGAGAACTGTAAGCATATAAACTGTCCTCTTAATGAGCATGAACAGTCAGTCCATTGTAGGAACTAAATCAGTGATTAAAAGTAATTTATACTGAGAAATGAGAACCAAATTTTCTTCAACCTTTTTGAATTATGTAATTCAACAATGGTTTAGAAAGAGGATGAATTTCCTGTGATGGTCAAGATTAAAATGTAATACATTCCTCAGTTTTCAGAAAAGAAAAAAAAAAGGTGACTAATAACCTATATAATGAAAGGCTAATATGCAAATTGTGCTGGCCAACTGCCTGCAGCTCCTCCTGATTGGCCCCACCCCCAACTGCCCCCACCCCACCCCAATGAGGGGTGGGGCAGCTGGCCAACTTACCCCCCTCTTCCCCCACCAGCCCAATTAGGGTGGGCCAACCATACCCCACCAGTACACAAATAGTCTCGTTACAATGCTTCAGTTGTTCTACTGACAGTCTGCTAAAAAGAACGAAAGGTTTTTACATAAACTCAGAAAATATAACAGGTTTAGAAGACACATGGGTACTAGTATAACAAGTCAAAGTAAAACTCAGATTTTTAAAAACGGCCCCACCTTTTTCCAAATGGCATGTCTGTTACAATAATGTCCACAGAGCCAGTTCTCAGTGGCAGGTTGCAGATATCCCATTGAATAGCATCTATGGGCAAACCCCAGGACAATTTGCTGTGAGTACAAAGGAAAAATACTTCAACATATTTGAAGAATGAAATTTAAGTTTTTTTTTCTGAAGAGACTGCTATAAAGTATTAAAATACTACTAAAATATCAATTGATATTGACAATATCAATCAAAAATTTTAAAGTAGAATGTATAAAGTATAAGTCTATAAAATAAAACCAAATTTATAAGAATGACTAAGTGATTTTTATGGTTAGGTTGGCATGCAAAAGAGGATTAAGGGGAAAAACAAGATTGCAACACAACTAACAGACAACTATGAAAACTTGCAAATTATGTAACTGATGATGTAAAACAGATAAAATAGACACTGGATCAACACTAAAGAGGGGGAAAAAGTGAGGTGACATCTGAAAGATGAAGTTTGATAAATCTACATAGTAATAAGAGATCTAAAAGCAGATATGTAAAATTAGTGAATATAGAGGTACTTTAAGATAAAATAAAAAAAAAGTGTATCATACTATTAAATAAGCAGCAAAGAAAGATAAGATAAAAAAAAAAAAGGCCAAGTAGTTTGACTGGTGCAGGGGTGGGGAAACTTTCTGCCAAAGGCCATTTGAATATAACATCATTAGCTTAATATAATTCACTTAATATAAATCTGTGTTGCTATGAAAAAAGTTCCCAGATTCATTGAATTTTGAATCCCACCTTCGGTTGCCTTGGCAAGGCCAGACCAAATGATGTCGCAGCCACCGGCTGGGTTCCCCCACCCCTGGGTGAGAGCATCATCCCAATATGCCAAGGTTGCGGGTTTTTGACCCCCATTCAGGACATATACAAGAATCAGCCAAAGAATGCATAAATTAAGTGGGACAAAAAAACTGGTATTTCTCTCTATCCCCCTCCCTCTTTGTCATATATTAATATAGATGACAAGATAATAATAATAGCATGATTTAAATCCCCTTCAGGCAAAGCTACTGGTTTAAGAAATAAGATACAACAGGAAAACAAAATATGAGCATAAATGAAGGGTTATATTATTGATATATAATAAAGAATTTAAGAAAAATCATGATATAATGGGGGGAGTGATAAACACATTGAACAAAAAAGTTTTATAATCACAAGCACCAATAACTGCAACAAAGTAACAAAAAAATATTTAGAAAATAGAAAGATAAGAATCAACCAATGAATGCATAAATAAGTGGAACAACAAATTGACATTTCTTTCCCTCTTTAAAATCAATAAAAAAAAACAACTGTTTAAAATTTAAATGGAGTCTCGCTGTTTATTTTGGTTAAATCATGTCACAAAACACTTGGGGTATTAATCATATAAAGTCAGAATCTAAGTATTAAAGATGCTTAAGGTTTACCCTTCTTTGCCCTGGCCAATGTGGCTCAGTTGTTTGGAGCACTGGCATGTATATAGGTTGTAGGTTTGATTCCCAGTCATCAAGGCACAAACCTAGATTGTGAGTTTGATTCCCCTTTGGGGCACGTACAGAAAGCAACCACTCTATGTTCTCTCATACATCAATGTTTTACACCCCTCTCTTTCCCCTTCTACTCTAAAAATAAGTAAGTGTATTCTTGGATGAGGATTGAAAAAAAATTTACCCTTCTTTAATTTGGCTCTTGGTCAGTAAAGATGAAATGTTATTTGCTGTTCTATTCACAGCCAATGGATTATTATCACCAGCAATATGAAAGCAATTAGACCATTCAGTAGCCCCCTAAAAGACAAGAGTATATATTGAAACAGAAGTCACAACTGCAAAAAATGATTAAAGAAAAAAATCATTTCAAATGTCAACAGATAAGGCATCCAATCCAATAGTCAAGTGCTTTTCTAAAGTGTAAAAACCCTGCATGCTGTCAACTTTGCTATACCCCCGTTTGAAATGCCCTCCTATTCTTTCTCTGCTTGCTGAACTCATCTTTCAAGACCTGTGTGCATAAACTCTCCAAGCTGCCTCATTTGCTCCTCTCTAGAGTGCTTTGTACATGTCTGTCACTGTACTGTGCTGTTTTAAATTATTTCTATGCCTGCCTGACACTCAACAAATCTGAGAACTCAGATCTAGTATTTTATTCAATCCCTCACACAGCAGTATCTGGCACACTACAGTAGGCATTACAGACCTTAATTACAAATGTAGTTTGAAAAAAAACAACCAAATCAAACTGACTTACCTATATCCTTTTGTGAATATAAGATTGTGCATAATCTGATATATTAGAATATTTGAGAATTTCAAAATACAATGTAATCTCCATTGTATATATAGGCTTTTGAATGAATGATAACCACCATGTCCCTAAAAGGATTTTGCAATTTTAGGTAAGAAACATGTCAGCACAATGTAAATACCTAGCTGCTACATATTTGTGGAATAAGGTGGCATACTCCCTAGGCCTGAACAATGTCTGTGCAGATTAACAGGTTTCTGACTTGAAGGCAGGGGAAGTTCTGCCCTCTGTTCAGGGATGAGTAACAAAAACCTCTTTCTTTGTAAATGGTAATATCCATTCACCCATGAACACAGTGCTTCACAGCTTTTTCTTTTGCTCGGACCCTTGAGAGTGATGTAGAGGGGACTTAAAAGAGACCTAGAATTCGATGAAAGCCTCTCAGGTGACTCTGATTCCCCAACATTTATTTTTTTTCTTCAATACCTATTTAGATTCATAGTCTCTAAAAGACTTAGGTTCTGTAATACTTCCAATTTTAAGGGGAGTACTCTTAAGTATTTTATACTTTGTCGAACAAATTTAGATACATAACTTGTCAAATCATTTGATAATTTCATTCATTTTGATCATATATCAGCTTAGGTTATATTTTTTTTCCCCCTTATGGAAAGGGGCCTTTGATTTCATTGTTTTATACACTCATTGGTTCTAGAACATCCTGAATGTAACTTTTGCTTATTAAAAGCTAAAGAAAATTTATTACCTCTATTGGTATTGCCCCTGTTCCACACATTGGATCAACTATTATATCAGAAGGTTGAGGCGAACAGAGCCTAGAGAAAAGAAAACAACCTATGTGAAGAGACTTGAGCCAACAGCTGAAGCCACCACAGTGACTATTTCTGAAGCTATAAAATCAAGGACCTATTATATTAGCATGAAGAAACACTAATTAATACTCATTTAAAAAATCAACATGTTGATTCTATATCTTAGCTGTAAAAAAAAAAAGCATTACATATAACTAAAAGTATCCTTTTACTGTTACCCAAAATCCCATTTCATTATAGATGAAACTTAGTCGTTAAATCTTTTAATATACAGAACATGTATGCCTTTAGAAAATACATTATTTTGCATATAAACCTGTATTGGTACATTATAAAACAACCCCAAACATGTTTCAAATAGAAGTGGCAATTAGACATTCAGTATTCCTTTCCTTGTAAATTTTAAAGATAAGTTTGCTATAAACATATTTGCTTTACTATGAGTACTTAGTACAGTAATTCCTCACTTGATGTCATTGATAGGTTCTGCAACTTTAAGCGAAATGACATATAAAGGAACCAATTTTATCATAGGCTAATGGATATAAACAGAGTTAAGTTCCTACACCATCTCTGGCATCTCATCAATGCTATAAGAAACGATGTTGAGGACCTGCTGTACTTACTAGACTTGGATTTAACTCTTTGCAGCCATCATCTCATTAATCCTTTTCATAATCCTATGAACTAGGTCGCTTACTCTTCTAATTTTACAGATAAACTGATGCAAAGCAAAACTAATAGGTGACAGAGTCAGCCATTACTGTTAGTGGCTTAAATGTTACCCTCTCTCTGAAGCACCCCCTCCTCAGGTCATTAGGTTTCTCCTTTTGTCCTGCTAGTCTTTCCACATTTTATTATGGTATTTTTACATGTAAGGTAATTATTTACCTCCCTCTCAAGACTGAGATTCTTGGAGATAACACTGCATTGTTGTTTTTATACCTGTCCAGCTCTACCTCCCAGTTTCTGCCCCTCCACACATGGCAACAGAATTGTTAGCAACCCTGCACTCCCAGCCATTGCAGCCAGGGTCTGGGTGAACACTTGACCAAGACTATGTGAATCAGATTCTCTCTTCCAAGAATTTGGAATAAAGAATCAGAAGCCCCAAACAATAGGGAGTTGGTCGTTTGAAAATGGGAATACATGACTGTGGATGATGGGCAGCCATTTACACACATGAACAGAGAAGAGAGCACACAAATTTCTGGGAGAGACAAAGTTACTGTCGCGGTAGTTTTCCAAGATCTGGTTCCTACTCTTCTTGAAACATGGCTTTCAGTTTTTCTGTGGATTCCCTACAACTTCTCAGTATTTTTCCATTAAATCTCCTTCCCACACCATCAACACTTTTTTAAATCTTAAAACTAGCTTACTTAGGTTTCTAATCATTGCATTCAAAATAACTAATCATATCCCTGGCTCCTACACCACAATGCCTGGGAGCAGATAATAAATGTTTGTCAAATAAATGAAGACTGGGGGTGAGGGGAGATAAAAAAAAGAAAATGAAGACTTAATCCAATGTCTCCAGTCATCGAATTGATAGGCTCTGTGTTTGAACTGTAACTCCATGGATGAGGAGGTAAAAGAGGACTGCCAGGATATGCCAGACACTGCATATAACAGGTATTTTGCATAGGTTTCTGCATTTATTCCTCACTAATAATAATTGAAGAGTCACAGCAAACCCGTTTTTCACTCTAAAGAATAGAAACCTAGAGAAGACAATCTTGTCTGAGTGGTGGAAAGAAGCACCCAATAAAAAAGAGAACAGGGAAAAGAAGCAAGCAAGCTGGATCTTACCTTCGGGAAAGTGGAAAATTCCAGGATGATTCCTAGGTTGCAGTGATTATAAAATTTAAAAATTGCTGAAACCGGTTTGGCTCAGTGGATAGAGCGTCGGCCTGCAGACTGAAAGGTCCCAGGTTCGATTCTGGACAAGGGCATGTACCTTGGTTGCGGGCATATCCCCAGGAGGGGATGTGCAAGAGGCAGCTGATTGATGATTCTCTCTCATCAATGTTTCTAACTCTCTATCCCTCTCTTTTCCTCTCTGTAAAAAATCAATAAAATATATATTTAAAAAAAAATATATATATATAAGTAAAAGCTCTCTGTATTCATTTACACATTAGACATTTAAAAAAAATCTCTGCTTTCATCTGTTTCATTGACAGAAATGAAACAAAGTAAAATTTTCTCTATTTCTCAACATACAGTATATTCTTTCTAAACAATGTGGCAATGCTAGTCAAGAGGTAAATGAAAATTATCTTCCCATTTTAAAATCAATAAACTGATATAATAATTAAATGATAGTTTCAGGATCAACACTGAACACAAGAGAAAAAAACAGATCATCAGCTTTTTATACTATTCTTTTTTTAAAATATATTTTATTGATTTTTTACAGAGAGGAAGGGAGAGAGAGAGCTAGAAACGTCAATGAGAGAGGAACATCGACCAGCTGCCTCTTGCACACCCCCTACCGGGGATGTGCCCGCAACCAATGTACATGCCCTTGACCGGAATCGAACCCGGGGCCCTTCAGTCTGCAGACCAACGCTTTACCACTGCCGGTTTTGGTAGTTTTTTATACTATTCTTTATCCACTAAATCCCCACACAGTACCTCAGAAGAAATTCCAAGTGTTTTGAAGGGAAAACTGAAACCAAATTGCCACTTTAAGCTAGATGGTGAACCCTTTCTCTTACCTGAGCATCCCATAAGCAAGAGTAGATCTTAGAGTTGTAGGTCCAAAATGTGTGATATTTCTTCGGTGGAGGCTCTCTTCTGTCAATGCGATGCCCACAATAACTTCATTATCATGGATATTCAAAAGCACCTAAAATTAAGCAAGATAAAATAGTCTTAGAATTGTTCAAACTACACTCATTACAAGGATTTTTAAATTTTAGGCTTTATTAATTTTTTACTTTATTATTGAGGTATACTTTACATAAAGTACACAAATCTTAAATATGTAGCGCAGTGAATTTTTACCTATGTGTACACTGTAACTGCCACTCAGATAAAGATATACAGTATTTCCATCACACCAGAATGCTCCCCTTTGCCCTTCCCAGTAATTATTAATCTGGCTACTACTATATATTAGTTTTATCTTGTTTTGAACTTCATATAAATGAAATTTATATAACTTTTTAAAAAATATATATTTTATTGATTTTTTTTACAGAGGAATAGAGTTAGAAAGATCGACCAGCTGCTTCCTGCACATCCCTGCTTGTGCAGCAGCAGCAACTGCTTGATGTTTCTTTGTGCTTCTTTCCCTTTCTCTCCCCTCCTCTCTAGAATCAATAAAGCAAAAATATATTTAAAAAATTATTTTCCTCTAAAACGAAGGTACTCTGGTTGAATTTTATAATCTGAAAGTCCATATAATGTTGTACAAAGTACTTGACTAGAAATTAGAACACTCGTCTTAATAGTTCTCATCTATTGAGCTCCGATATATACCAGGTATTACACCAAACACTTAAAATGTATTATCTAATTTAACCTTCAGGACACACTTAGAGGTGTATACTACTACTTGCCCTATTTGAAAACAGGCTGAGAAAGAATATTTTATCCAGTTACCCAGTACAAAATCTAAAAATGGATCTAGATCAGTCTCCATAGTCCATGCTCTTATTAGCCACACACTATTAGCTCTGTGGTCTTAATCGTCCATAGATTACTAAGTTAGTCTGAAAAGTCTACAAATCTATAATGGCATTCTGGAATCATCACAATCAGAGCCTGTACCTACCTCCACATCAAAATTGGTCATGTCAGCCTTCCACTTAAAATGATCTTGAACAGCACCCCCAAAATCTCTTGCAGCCTCATTTGAGGAAAAGCAATGTTTCTCTCCTGCCCTGTTGCACGTGACTCTGAACTTTAGCACTTCGGGATCAGTGTCTTCTTTTAAGCTCTCCTCAGTCTCATTTTTGCAAGATGCCAAAACATCACCTACTAATGTTGATATCTCTTCTTTGATGGCTGGCTTTTCATAGTAGTCTAAAATATGTGAATCTAAGGAATTGTTAGACAACTCCTTTTTGACATCTCTCTCCTCTCTTTTGTCTCGTTCATTATCAATCTTCTCTTTATTTAAATTCTGATTTAACTTTTTGCGCTTTGTTTTTTTTTTCTTGAAACTAGTGTTAATTTTCCATACTTTTAAAGGGTCTGACCATGGAAGCTTCCCAGCCAATTCTTCAAAATCTTTTAGGACTTTTTCCTAGAAGAGACAGAGAATAAAATCCATTAATTCTTCATCACTTTAATTAAACAAATAAACTCCTACTTTGCCTGCAGATGACAATCATTTTGTTAAGGGTGATAGGGGTTCAAAACAAGAGTCAATAAAATAATGGTTGTAATTGAGGAAATAAAAATCTCTTTGAAAATTAAGACATATACAAATTAAATCACTAAAGAAGAAAACAAGACATACTAATAGATCATAAGTTGAGCTTTAAGATTAAAATATAAGCAATAAAAAACTATTAATAGTAGTTACCTCCAGAGAGGTGAAATGGATGGATGAAAGAAAAGGAGGGCAATCTACCTATCTCTAATTACCTTTTGAATTTTGTGTTGTGTATACAAACTAATTTTTTTTTTTAATCCTCACCAAATCAAATTCATTGATTTTTAGAGTGGGAGGGAAGAGGGAGGAAGGGAGGGAGAGAGGGAAGGAGGGAAAGAGAAACATTGGTTTTTGAGAGACACATCCATTGGATGCTTCCCACACTTGCCCCTGACCAGGGCGGGGATCAAACCTGTAACCCAAGTACATGCCCTTGAATGGAAATTGAACCCGAGACCCTTCCTTGTGAGGGCTGATGCTCCAACCACCAAGATATACCAGCCAGGACCATTATTAACAATTTTTTAAAAGAAAAAAAATTTGAGCAATTAAAAATTTACCTATGCAATTTCTAAATAGTATCTAAACTCTTTTTAAAAAAATTGAAATTTTTCAAGAAGCCCAACATAATCTCACTCCTGCCTACTTCTCATACATCACTTTAGAATCCTTCTCTCCCTTACTTCCTCTGCTTGGAAGTTATTTGGTTCTCATGGTCTCTGCACTGCTGGCTTTCTTCTCATTGTTTAATAGCATTTCCTCTGAGAGACCTACTATACTAACATTAGTCCTCTCAAGTCTTCTCTTTCATTTTATTTTCTTTACAGAGCTTAGCATTACCTAAAGTTACTAGGTTTATATATTGTTCACTGTGAGAGTGAACCAGCAATCTTTTGTGTCAAAGAAAGGAGCTCGTTGCCATCTTAGGTCCTGCCATTTGATATGACCTTCAGATTCTCAGGGGGCCACCATCTTAGGCTCCACCTTACCCCTCCCCTTCCTCTAAATTAGCCAATCGAACAATAATGGGAACCTGACCTCTGAGCCCTGACCAATCAAGTCAGAATTCAGAGTGAAAGGCAGGGCAAACCCCTGTCAGGAAATAAAACCCTGAAGGGACTTCCCATTTGGTGTGCTTTGCCCCAGATTTCCAGCTGGCACAGCACCCTCTGCAGGAGTAAATTTGCCTTGCCAATCCAGTTTCAGTGTTTGATCTCATCGTTGAGAGCATTCTAACACTCACCACCAAAGTTCCTCCCAGAATTAAGTGCAGGGTGGGAAGGACTTTACCTGTCCTGACCATTGCTATAAGCCACATGCATAGAAAAGTGCTTGATATACAAAAGGTATTCAATAAATAGCTGTTGGATAACGTGATGAAATGTTAAAATGGGTGGTACAGAGCTGTCTAATTCAGCAGCCATCAGTCACATGTAGCCAATATTTAAATGATTTAAAATTTAAAATTCAGTCACATTAACCACATTTCACACACTGGTAGCCAGTGGCTATCATGTTGGACAGCATAGACACAGCATTTCCATTACAAAGCTCTACTGCAGAGTGCTGGTAGACAGTACTTGTCATAGAAGATCAAAGCAGAACGAAATCAATGTTGGCTGATGGAACTAAAACTTGAAATGGAAATGAGTGAATGCTTTGATACTAATTGAAACCTGATAAAATAATGGCAAATTTCAAATTTGGCAGATCTAATTCCATTTATAAATAATTTTCCTATAAAGGGCACTAGGTTTAACATGGTGGAATAATACTGGGATAGTCCCTTTCTTTCTTCAGAAACCAAATAGAAGAAAAAACAACAGTAATACCAACTCTATCTTAATAGAATCTGCATGATATCCATAATCTAGAACCATTACATGGGAATTCTAACATAAGAATTCCCAAGTGCAGTGAAGGTCAAACAGGTACAATAAGACATAGAGGAAGAATGCCTATAGATCTCAAATAAAGGGTAGGCCAGTCTGCATAGTAGTAGCAAATAAACTCTTCTTGGGAACAAGTATGTGCATGGACTCTGTACCGAGAAGCAGCAGGGGAAAGAAATGGAGATTGAACAAGGAACCTCACAGACAAGTTATATTTGCTGAAAGCAGTCCATTGGTAAGGCAGAATTGGGACCAATACTCTACGTAGTAAATAAACCTGAAGCTGCTGATCTCTTTAGGCTAGGAAGAAGTAATAGTTAAAAGAACTAATGGTGTGGAAATTATATCTCGCAGGCCAATATGACTCAGTGGTTGGGCATCAACCTATGAATCAGGAGGTCACAGTTCAATTCCAGGTCAGGGCACATGCCCGGGTTGTGGGCTCAGTCTCCAGCAGGCAGTGTGCAGGAGACAGCCGATCAATTATTCTCTCATCATTGATGTTCCTATCTCTCACTCTCTTCCTCTCTGAAATATAAATATATTTAAAAAAAAAATCCTATCTCAGTAAAGCTATTTAAAAAAAAAGAAAAAAAAGAAAAGAAAACTCATTCACCCACAGCCCTTTGTCAGAAGGAACTTCAAAATAAATCAGAAGGGTTTCTTGCTGACCTGGTGTTAACAGTTTCTGGCTTCTCCCAGGAGAAACTCCTCTAAATAGCAGGTCCAAGAGGAACTCCCTCATTCAAAGATGAGCAATTATCAATTATCATTCACAGAGGAGCATAAAAAGAAAAAAGGAGGAAAGGAACAGAAAAACAAATAAATTTAAAACAAAAAACAAAAAACGACTATCAGAAAGACAATGCCAAAGAGCAGCTGAAAGCTATAATCAAACATATTGACATAGCATCAAAAAAATGTAATGAGGCTATACGAGTAACTGAAAAAAAGAAGAGCTCAAGGCAGACATAGACAAACAGAAAGAGGGGATGAGCCACCTGAAGAAAAAACAGGAGCTTGCAGAGTTCAAAGAAAAATAACTTACAGATGCTAGCCTTAAAAAAAGTCTATAAATTCATGACATCATTTGAATACTTAAAAATACCTATTAAAATGCTTAAACTAACAGGCTTTTCATAAGACAAGGCAAAGTACAATGCTACAAAGAATGAAATTATGGTCAACAGAATAAAAGCTAGAAGCAAATGTTTAACAGCAATGTTTTACTGGGGCATGTTGCAACTAAAGTCCACGAAGTGAAGGGTTTAACAATTTTTCATGGTCACAAACAACAGAAGTTACCCACGCACAGATCTGAAAATCTACTTTAATACTTGCTGATCTTTACCAGCAACCTCTTTTGTACTTACAAAACAACCCTGAAAAGCTGGCTCACATAGAACCATTACATAATATCAGATTAACCACCAATTAGAGATCAAAAACACCAAAATAATACAAACTCTAAGCTGAAAAGAAATGCAGGAATTGAGAGAATACAGTCAAACCTCGCATTTCTCGAACATCTCTCATCTCTAAAAATTTGGTTGACTAAGTTGTTCTCAGAAAAAAAAATGATTCCACTGTTGACCAAAACTTCAGTTAACCCTTTCATGTGGATACCTCAGCATGACAAAAAAAGTCTTGCAGGCAATCCTTGCTTCTGGTGATTAGCAAAATTTTAAAATGTAAAGAGGCACTCAAGAGTGCTAATGTTGCCGAAACCGGTTTGGCTCAGTGGTAGAGGGTAGGTCTGAAGGGTCCCTGGTTCGATTCCGGTCAAGGGCATGCACCTTGGTTGTGGACTGAAGGGTCCCTGGTTTGATTCAGGTCAAGGGCATGTACCTTGGTTGTGGGCACACCCCTGGTAGGGGGTGTGCAAGAGGCAACTGGTCAATGTTTCTCTCTCATTGACGTTTCTAGCTCTATCTCTCTCTCCCTTCCTCTCTGTAAAAAATCAATAAAATATATTAAAAAAAAAAAAAAGAGTGCTAATGTTGTTAAGGGTGTAGAAAGTGCTCACAAAACAGCTATCTCAGGCAACTGAATAGGTAGAAAAACTGTTGTTTAGATAAAAGGAAAAGCAATTAGCCAGTGATAGCATTTTGGAGGCAACAATATATGAAAAATTCCTTTAAGGCTAATAGGAAGGATGTGGTTCAATAAATTTAAGAAGTGTTTATTTATAGATTAAACAGTACATTAGGCATGTACTGAATATAAGAAAGGTTGAAACAGAGAATCATTTTGGGGTCTGGAATGGGTTAATTCAATTTACATTATTACTAATAGGAAAAAATGATTCTATTTTCAAACAAATTGTTTCTTGAACAGCCTTCTGGAATTAATTAAATTCAAGAAACTAGATTCCACTGACTTAATAGGGCCCACCAAGTTAGAATCAAGAATTAAAAAAAATAAAATTTTAACTTCGTTTTTAAATGCCTGCTAACATTTATTTGTGGCTATTAACATTTTGAAATACTTAGCAGCAAAAATGTTTAGTAGCCTACCTATCGCTTACTAGTTTCACAGATAACGATTTAGTTGGCAATGACTACCAGAAGTCTGAAGTGATATAATACTAGTGTTGAAAGTTACATTTTTTTGGTTATTACAACTTTTATCTATTTTCAATCTGAATTCTTTTAGGTTTGGTTTTAATTTTTTCTAGGCTGTGGGTTCATACCACTTTGGTGTTTTTTTTGTGTGTATTTTTTTTTTTTAATTCTCACCCCAGGATATGTTTTTTATTGATTTTTAGAGAGAGAGGTAGGGAAAGAGAGAGAGAAATCAAAGAGAAATATCAATGTGAGAGAAACATTGTATCAGTTGCCACCTGCCCCGACCAGGAATCAAACCTGCGATCTTTGGTGTATGAGATTGACACTCAAATTAACTGAGCCACCCAGCCAGGGCTGATTGGTTTTTTAATATTTTAGAAATCAACCTATTGCCAATAATTAAGCACCATATCATAGTTTTTAAAAACAGGTTATTTCTCATATAGGCAATAAAACTAATGGAAATAAGTTTTCAAGCATTTGATTCTGGAAACCTGACCAAAAAGTAATGTGGAAAAATACAAACGCCTTACTGAGGTCTATTTTCAACCTTCTGCTTAGCAGCCTCTCAATATTTACGAATCAGATGCTAAATACAAGTTGGAGACAAAGCTGTTGTCCTAACAACTGAAGAATTATTTGGACAGTACTTTGGCTTTATTTCAAAAACTAAACTTAGAGAAAAAAGCCAGGCAAAAGCCCAGTGGTGAGGGAATGTGTTATCTGTAGATGATACAAATTGTCACTTGCTCTTTGGTTCACAGACAGGAAGCAATTCTATTTGAAACCATATATATCAGCAAAGCTGACCTAAGGTATATATCTTTTGTATCAAAGTCAAACAAACAAACAAAAAAAGTCAAACAATTTATTTCTTATAAATTTTGATGTCTTCGATATTGATTTTATATTTTCTTATTCTTTCATCTTTTTAAAAAATAAGGTATAAATGACACATACATTTTAGTTTCGGGTGAACAATATTTGTATATATTGAGAAATGATCATCATAGTTAAGTCTAGTTAACATCTGCTACTATACACAGTTACAAAATATTTTGTTCTGTGATGAGAACTTTTAAGATCTACTCTCTTAGCAACTTGCAAATATACTATATAGTAGCATTAACTATAGTTGCCATGTTTTAAATTGCATCCCAATTACTTATTTTATTCCTAGAAGTTTGTACCTTTTGACCCCTTCCACTCATTTTGCCCATTCTCCACCTTTTCCAATACTGATTTTTAGAAACAATTTTTGGGCCCTGGCCAAACAGTCATTTGGTTAGAATGCCATCCCAATACACCAAGGTTGGGGGGTCTGATCCCCGGTCAGGGCACATACAAGAATCAACCAATGATTCTTTCTCAAATCAATAAAAGTTTTAGAAACAACTTTTAGGTTGGACTGTCAACAAATCTCTGGATTTTATTGTAAAAACTTTCCCAGTATTCTATATGATAAAAGCAGCAGTAATGCTTAAGGATAGAATATGAAAAGTAGAAATAATCTTTTGGGGATGATAGCTCACCTTTGGTTGGGATAGCTCACCTTTGTTTCTTTGAACTGGTAATCTTTAAGCTCCTGAACAACCACAAATAAATTATCAACTGATCTCAGACGATGAACCTGGTGAGGAAAAAAATGTTAGAAACAAATTTCTGAGAAAGCTTTTGAATCACACAAACTATTGACATTTAAATATAAAAATGATGTACAAAGACTTTAAAGCACCTAATACAGCAATCTCTTCTCGTCAGTGGTTTCAGTTATCTGAGGTCAACCACTGTCCCAAAATATTACATGGAAAATTCTAGAAATAAAAATTCTTAAGTTCTAAATTGTACACTGTTCTGAGTAGCTTGATGAAATATCATCCTGTCCCATCTAAGACATGAGTCATCCCTTTGTCCAGTGTATCCAGAGTATATATGCTAACCACCATTAGGCACTTAGTAGCCATGTCATGGTATGGTGCTTATGTTCAAATATCCATTATTTTACTTAAGAATGGCTGGGAAGAACAAGAGTGGTGATGTTAGCAATTTGAATATGCCCAGGAGAAGCAGTAAAGTGTTTCCTTTAAGTGAAAAAGTGAAAGTTCTTGACTGAATAAGGAAAGAAGAAACTGTATCTGAGGTTGCTAAGATATATGGTAAGAATCAATCTTTTACCCATGAAATCACCTAATTCATAAGTTAAACTTTGTCATAAGTATGTATATGTAGGAAAAAAACATATTGTATATAGGATTCTGGGGTTTTTGGAATGTCTCTCCATGGATTTGGAGTGAGGGGTCTACCGTTCCTATAATTTGTATTTAAATTTTTTTCCATTTCCCCAGTCTCCCATCTTTTTGGTATCTAACATTTTTTATTCCACTAGAGAAAAGGAAGGACAGATGAAAGAATAGAAGCTTAGTGTGTTATGCGAGCAACACAGGTTTGGGAACTAAGGGAAATACAGTCAAGAGAAACTTTATCATATTTCTCATAGCTCTCTGGGGTACACTGTATATTGGGGTTAAGAGCATAGGACTTAATCCAGCTCTTTGATTACAGGCTGAACAACCCTGGGCAGATTACATAGTACTAAGCCTAATAACTAATGAGGATAATAATGCCTATCTTCACAAAGCTGTTGAGGTTATTACCTAAAATACTGGATGGAAATACCTGCTTATCAATTCATCCCACACATTTGGGGGTGTGGGGTTTCTACTATATGCTAGACACTAAGAGCTTGGGAGACTTAAAAAAAAAAAAAAAAAGACAATCCCTGTCCTCATGTTGCTTAAGTGGTAATGAGATATAGCTTAGCTGTTTTATTCTAATGGGTTGCTGACCTTCACTTCTCACCTACAGTGATTCCTAATTACTTTTGAGCAAGTATTTTTTTAATAGATTATTAAAAAAAAATCTATTATGCTTCACCCCCAAAATCTAAACTTCAGCTAGATGCTTAAAGTAAATAAATTTAAAGATGTGTAGCAGATATACAGAATTCCTTCAGGTACATGAAATTCTTCCGGTGAATTCACCCTCAGGAAATATTAGGATCACTTCTAAAAATATAACAAACCTAACAGTCAAACTTATAAATCTGTACCCAATACAAAATACAATAGGCAATACCCATAAAATTATCTATTTAGAAAACTATTTTAAATATTGCTTCATTCAAACCTGAGCCAAACTTTCCACTGAAATGTCAAAATATATCTTGCCCCGATCTTTGCTGATTTTGCATGATGATTTCAATTTCTCTCTCACTTCATCTGCAGCTGCTTGCTCAAAACCAGTAGGTACAGTGGCTCCAATAGTGACTCGAAGATGCTCGGACTCACTTCTGGGGACACTTTCTGTCACGTGTGTATCCCTCTGGTTCTCATGAAGGTTCACATGCAAAAGTTGGTTAGTGGCTTCTTGAATATCAGACATGTTGGCAGTGCTTCCAAGATTCTTCAAAAACAGTAGAGAAAAGAAAAAAATAGTCTCCAAACATTACCACCTCATGTATCAACTATAAATAAAAACATCTGTTTTGGAGGGCTAGAACAAGCAACACAACTGATATAGCCATATTCACCCGAATCAGTATTCACTAAAGATAAAAGGATGGAATAACATGGGCATAGATGTAAAATTACATTATTAAATAAGCAATATAGATACTATGGAAAAAAAGAAGAAAGACAAATAAAAGAATTTCCACAGCAAACAATGTTTGGTTTGGGATCATCTATGTTGATAATAGTCACCTCATAACTACAATAGTTAACACTCCAAAAACAGAGGCTACTAGAGCGTATTCAAATACATTTCTGCATCTTGTCCTTTTTTAGATAGCAGTTAAGAACGTGGGGACTGGAATTTCAGACATAGATTTGACTTCTTGCCCTCACCATTCATAGGTTGAATGGCATAAAACACGTTTATTTTCTTGTGCCTCAATTTTCTTATCTGCAAAATGGGAATTAAAGAATACCTTCCCTCTAGAGTTGTTGGGAGACTTAAGTGGTACCGGGTGGGGTTGGGGTTAGAGAGGTGGGAAGTGGAGATCAATAGCTCTCACCCGATTTTTTAAGGTTTTGCAACCTAGAAGTAGGTACCTACATTGTCTTTGTTCCGTACAGGGTCAAGCGACAGCGACTAACACGAATAAAAATCAATTCCTGCTCTTACTGAGCTCACAATCACTGTGAATAAGAGCTCCAGCTTCTAAAGACAGAGGCTAGCACGGCCAGGGGAGGGTCTGTGGTTGAGCGCCAACCTATGAACCAGGAGGTCACGACATTTGTCCGGGTAGCTTGCTGCTCGATCCACGATCCATCGGGCAGGAGGCAGCTGATCAATGATTCTCTCTCATGTATGTTTCTATCTCTCCCTCCCTCTCCCTTTCTCTCTGAAATCTAAAAAAAAAAAAAAAAAAATTTAAGCTGATGGATTAAATAAGTAAATGAGATCCAAGTCCGTAAAAGGACATATCCTGTCCAAGGTCAGAGGGCCAATCAGCGGCTGAGGCTGGAATGAAAACCGCGTGTCCGGACCCCCGCCCTCAGGGCCCTCGTTACAGGAATCGCGAGAGGCGGTCAAGAACAAGAGCCGGCGAGAAGGGCTCCACAACGACACCAGGCAGAAGTCCGGCCCGGCGTTACCCCAAGTTACCAAGACCAAGGTCGCCCCTCCCTCCCAAGGGCTAGCGACTCCACACCCAGCCACTCCCACCCGCCGCCCGTTTACCGGCCAGCAGCGCACACTCTTCCGGCTCCGCACGCCGCCGCCTCAACGTGCTCAGGTCACGCGGCCGGAAGCAGACCCTCGACAGCCCCGGAAACGGAAGTCAGGCGGCGCGGTCTTCGCGGCTCCGAGCTGGGGCGGGCGCCGGCGCTGGGGTGTGTGGAAAGAGGAGCATGCGCACAAAGGTCTACGCCCGGTGGCTGCCGATAGGGAGTGGTCCGTCCCTGCAGTCGGCGACGGCATGGTCTGCACGCTCGCCTGTGGAACTGCTAGCATTTCTTAGAGTGCTTGTCCGTTCCAGGCATCGAGTAAGTGCTCACAGGCGTCCTTGGTGCCAACAACTACCTGACTTTGGCCGTTCCCGTCTTAAAGCAGGAGAAACTTAGTCTCAGAGAGGTTACATATCCTGACTAAAATGTCAGGCACAGCGCTTTCCAGGCCGAACTGGGACTTGAATTTATTATAGATGATGTGACCAGAATTCTCGCTGTTAATATCTGAGTTAGTGTTGCTCAAATAAATCCCTGAGGTATGTATATATGGTAGTCTTCCTCCGCCCGTCCTCCCTCCTCCTACACCCACACACTTAATTCGTGGTTTTGTTTTCCACCGTTTTAGTTATCCTGGGCCGACAACATTATATTGAAAATTCCGGCAATAATAAGTTTTAAGTTGCACCCTTTTCTGAGTGGCAACTTGTGCTATCCTGCCCCGACTTGCCCAGTACATGAATCATTCCTTTGTTCAAGGTATCCACACAATACATACAATCACGAGACATTTGAGAGAGGCCACATTCACATAATTTTTGTTGCAGTGTATTGTTTTATGTTTTTACTGATTTTCGAGAGAGAGGAACATTTATGAGAAAGAGACATTGATTTTTTTTGCCTCTTGCACCCTCCCCTACTGGGGAGCGAGCCTGAAACCCTGGTATGTGCCCTGACTGGGTATGTGCCCTGACCTGGAATGGAACCGATGGCCTCTTGGTGCATGGGAGAACGCACCAATGCACACCAGCCAGGGTATATTGTTATATTTTATTACCGCTTATTGCTAATCTCTTACTATGCCTAATTAAAAAATTAAACTTTATCAAGGTATGTATGCAAAGGAAAATACATAGTATGTGTACAATTTGGTGCTGTCTGTGGTTTCAGGCAAATACTGGGGTCTTGGGACATATCCTCTGCAAAAAAGGGGGTACTACTATATCACCTTTACTATCTTTGCCCAATTGTGCTATTATTTAATACACTTTTTAAAATATATTCTTTAACAAGCTATTTTTAGAAGGAACTTTTAAAACTCAACAGTAGAAAGATAACCCAATTTAAAAATGAATGAAGGCTTAAATATTTCTCCAAAGAACATACTAGTACACAGATGGCCAATAATCACGTGAAAAGATAGCATCACTAGCCATTAGGAAAATGCAAATGAAAACGGCAATGAAATACCTGTTTAGTAGCTAAATTTTTTGAAAAACATGCATTTCCAAGTTCCAGTGAGGATGAAGAGTGATGGAACATTTATGCATTGCTGGTGGGAATGCTTTTAATAATTGTAAAGCCACTCTGGGAAACAGATTGGCCTTTCCCAAAAAGTTAAACGTGGATTGCCATATGAACCAGCATTTCTACTCAGGTGTGTATACTCAAGAGAATTGAAAATAGATGTTCAAGCATATACTTGTACAGGAATGTGTCTAACAGTATTTTATAACCTCAAAGTGGAAACAAATATCCATAAGCAAATGTGATCTATCCATGCAATGGAATGTTACCTACTCTGTTTCCCCGAAAATAAGACAGTGTCTTATATTATTTTTTGCTCCCAAAGATGCCCTAGGTCTTATTTTCAGGGGATGTCTTATTTTTCCATGAAGAAAAATACGGTACACATTTATTGTTAAATGAAAATAAAGGAAATTTATTACCTGTATACAGTACGGTAGTACGGTAGTTGTCAACACAAACCAGACAAACTGTGAATCCTACAGTATCAAGAATTTACTCATTTATTCAATGACAATCATGTCATCATCTTCTGGAACATCATCATAACAATCCAATTCCTGAATTTCCTGGTGAATTTCTTGTGACTCCATTTCTTTCAGAATCAGTGGACCAAATCTCTCATGTTTAGCAATAGCATCCTGAGACAGAGCCTAAGGGGGCTTTATTTTCGGGGGGATGCCTTATATTTCACTCAGAAGGAAAGTAGGTCTTATTTTCAGAGGATGTTTTATTTTTGGGGAAACACGGTATACATGTAAAAGCCTAAGCGACTGGCCAACTGGTCAGTAGCTGTGACATGCAACATCACCAGGGGGTAGACACACATACATGGAAACATGGAATGTGATGAATCTCAGAAGGAAAAGGAGAGGGGGAAGGCAGGATGAGATTAACTAAAGATCTTATATGCATACTAGAGGCTTGGTGCACAAATACCTCAGCCTGGCCTGCACCCTTTTGCAATACAGGACCCCTTGGGGGATGTTGGAGGCCCGGTACACTAAATGAGACCTTCTTGACAAAATAAGAGAAATTAAAACAAGAATCTTCAAGATTCTCTTCACCTGATTTAGTGTTATTTCAATATGTTTTTATTGATTTTTAGAGCGAGAGGAAGGGAAAAGGAAAGAGATAGAAACATCAGTGAGTGAGAGACATGGACTGGCTGCCTCCTGCACCCTACCTCCTGGAGATTGAGACCGAAATGTGACTGGGAATCAAATTTTGACCTCCTGGTTCATAGGCCAATGTTCAAACACTGAGTCACACTAGCTGGGCTGATTCAGTGCTATTTAAAGCACACCTTTGTACTATTTAAAATCATCTTCATAAACAAATCTCATACTTGGAGAAACATTGTTCTAAAGGCACATTTCTACCAGTAGTATCACATTAGATCTGCTATTTAGCAGAATTTATTGATTAACTATGGAAACGGCCCAAGTGCTCATTAGAAGATGAGTGGATAAAGAAGTAGTGGTATATTTACACAATGGAATACTGTGCAGCTGTAAAAGGGAAGCATGGATGGATCTGGAGATTATTATGCTAAGCAAAATAAGCCAGACAAAGATGAATGGTTTCACTTATGTATGGAATCTAATGAACAAAATAAACTGATGAACAAAATAGAACCAGAGGTTCTATACATACTGACGGTGGTCAGGGGGAGGAGAGTAATAGGAGGAATCTGAGTGAAAGGTGAAAAGATTAGCCAAAGAGCATATATGGATAGCCCATGAATACAGACAACAGTGTGGTGATGGCCAGAGGGAGTGGGGCTGGGGCTGAGTGGAGGTTGGTAAAGGAAGAGGTCAGGGAAATAAGGACATCTGTAATAGTGTCAACAATAATTTTTAAAAATATTTTTTATTGATTTCAGAAAGAGAGAGAGAGAGAGAGAGAGAGAGAGAGACAGACATCAAGGAGGAGAGAGAATCATTGATCAGCTGCCCGCTGCACACTCCTCATACTGGGGATCGAGCCCACAACTCAGGCATATGCCCTGACTGATAATTGAACCTCAACCTCCTGGTTCACAATGCTCACTGAGCCATGCTGGTGGCAGTAGTGTTATATAAATAAGCAAAGAATTGAATTTGATAATTCCTGTGAGCTATAGTGACACAAATGAGAAACTACTCAGTGGTAGTTGTTCCCATGTACCCAGATAATCTATTTTACCCTCATTGTTTTTTATCCTTGCCTATTCTTTTTAAAAATATATTTTTTTATAGGTTTCAGAGAGGAAGGAAGGAGGAGATAGAGATCAAAACATCAGTGATGAGAAAGAATCATCGATCAGCTGCCTCCTGCGTGCCCCAAACTGGGGACTGAACCCACATGTGCTCTTGACCAGAATTGAACCTGAGACCCTTCAGGTCACAGGATGACACTATATCCACTGAGCAAAACCAGCCAGGAATCCTTGCTATTCTTTTTTTAAAAAAATATATTTTATTGATTTTTTTACAGAGAGGAAGAGAGAGGGACAGAGAGCTAGAAACATCGATGAGAGAGAAACATTGATCAGCTGCCTCCTGCACACCCCCCACTGGGGATGCACCCGCAACCAAGGTACATGCCCCTGACTGGAACCCGGGACCCCCCAGTCTCCAGACCGATGCTCTATCCACTGAGCCAAACCG